GGACACCGCGCGGCACCGGCTGCTGGAGGAGTAACATTTGGTCCGGCCGCGGCCCAGCCACAGGAGGATGTCCTTTCGCCCGCTCACGCAGATTCGCCTCGCCCGCACGCACGCACGGCACGCGCGACACGAACCCGAAACCGAAATCGATTTCCCGGTAGGGGGGGTCTCCGTTTCACGTCGGACTCACCCCCCAACCCCCGATATATATATATATATATATATATATATATATATATATATATATATATATATATGCATATATATATACATATATATATATAGATATTATGAATATATATATATATATGTATATCGGAGGTTGGGGGGTGAGATCTCAGTGACACTCAGTGGAACGGAGACCCCCAACGGGGAAATCGTTTCGTTTCGTTCGTGTCGTGCGTGCGGGCGAGGCGAAGCTGCGTGGGCGCGAGAGAGGAATGAACCCGCCGTTGCGAGGGCGCTCCCGCCCGCCCGCCCGTCCGGGCGGTCGCTCGCGGTGTCCCGCGGTGTCCCGTGGTGTCCCGTGGTGTCCCGTGGTGTCCCGTGGTGTCCGCCGTTGCTAGGGCGAAGTCAAGACAAATGATTCTCCCCCGCCCGCCCGTCCGGCGGTGGCTCGCGGTGTCCGGCTGTGTCTCGTGGTGTCCCGTGGTGTCCCGTGGTGTCCGCCGTTGCTAGGGCGAAGTCAGGACAAATGATTCTTCCCCGCCCACACGTCCGTCCGTCCGTCCGGCGGTGGCTCGCGGTGTCCCGCGGTGTCCTTGGGTGTCCCGTGGTGTCCCGTGGTGTCCCGTTGAGTGAGATCGATAGTGAGATCGTTAGTGAGATTGATAGTGAGATCGATCGTGAGATCGAGTCTGAGATCGATGTGGTGCCCGAGGTGTCCCGTGGTGTCCCGTGGTGTCCCGTGGTGTCCCACAATGTGAGATCGATAGTGAGATCGATAATGAGATCTACAGGTGTGCCGTTTGTGTCCCGTGGCGTCCCGTGGTGTACCGTTGAGTGAGATCGATAGTGAGATCGATAGTGAGATCGAGACTGAGATCGATGTGGTGCCCCGAGGTGCCCCGAGGTGTCCCGCGGTGTCCCAAAAAGTGAGATCGATAGTGAGATCGACAGGTGTCCCGTGGTGTCCCATTGAGTGAGATCGATCGTGAGATCGATAGTGAGACCGACAGTGAGATCGAGAGGTGTCCCGCGGTGTCCCGTGGTGTCCCGTGGTGGCCCGTGATGTCCCGTGATGTCCCGTTGAGTGAGATCGATAGTGAGATCGATAGTGAGACCGACAGCGAGATCGAGAGATGTCTTGCGATGTCCAGTGGTGTCCTGTGGTGTCCAGTGGTGTCCCGTTGAGTGAGATCGATTGAGTTAGATGTTGGTTCCCCCCCTCTCTCCCCCCCCTCCACAACCTCCTTATCACACGAAGGGTGGTCGTATACGTAGGTATATGTAGAGAAATCTGACAATGGTATTGCCGGTGGTCATGCTGACGATGATCATGCTGAGGCTGATGCCGACGATGATCGTGACGCTGACGTGCTGATACGACGCTGATTAATCCCCAGAGGCACCCAAGAGAGTCCCAAGACGGCTCAACTGACCTCCAAGTGCTCAAGAGCGTCCAAGACGGGCCCAAGCGTCCAAAGACGGTTCAGGAGGAGAAGGAGGAGAAGTGGAGGAGGAGGAGTCTTCCCAAGACGGCCCACGGGAGCGCTTCCAAGAGTCTCCCCGAGGCGCGCTGTCGGCCAGATAGTCCTGGAGGCCTTTCCAGGAACCTCCTTCTCCTCCTCCTCCTCCTCCTCCTCCTCCTCCTCCTCCTCCTCCTCCCCCTCCCTCCTCCTCCTCCTCCTGCTCTTCCTCCTCCTTCTCCTCCTCCACATCCTCCCGACGACGAAGACGATGACGATGCTGATGCTGATTCTGGTAATGCTGAGGATGATGATGGGCAGCACGATGGCAGTGACAGCGTGCACGATAATCGCGCTGCTGCTGTTTTTTTGTGATGATGTAGTTGATGATGCTATTGATGCTGCTGCTGCTGATGGGGATCAGGATGCCGAGGACGATGCTTTGTGGTCGGAGGTGGTGATACTCATGCTGATGGTGACGATGGTGGTGATGCTGATGGTGATGGTTGTGATGTTGGTGGCGATGTTGGCGATCTAGGCGATGGCGGCGATGATGGTGCTGGTGATGGTGATGCTGACGGTGACGGTGATGATGATGCTGCTGTTGGTGATGATGATGTTGATTCGATGATGATGGTGATGATGCTGGTGATGATGATGGTGGTGGCGATGATGACGATGGTGATGATGTCGATAGTGCTGATGATGACGTTGATGCTGCTGCTGCTGATGATGATGGTGATGCTGCCGATGATGATGGTGATGATGATGATGCTGCTGATGATGTTGATGATGCTGCTGATGCCGATGCTGATGATGCTGATGCTGATGATGCTGCTGATGGTGATGCTGATGCTGCTGCTGATGATGCTGTTGCTGATGCTGCTGATGCTGCTGATGTTGGTGTTGCTGATGATGGTGATTATGATGATGATGATGATGATGATGATGATGATGATGATGATGATGCTGATGCTGATGCGGATGATGCTGATGAGGATGCTGCTGCCGATGCTGATGGTGTTGATGCTGATGCTGACGATGCTGCTGATGATGACGCTGATGCTGATGCTGATGCTGCTGATGATGCTGCTGATGATGATGATGATGATGTTGCTGCTCCTGATGCTAATTATGATGCTGCTGCTGAGGATGATGATGACGATGACGATGATGTTGGTGATACTGTTTGTGATGATTACGATTGTGATGATGCTGATGATGATGGTGCTGATGATGCTGCTGCTGCTGCTGATGATGATGATGATGATGATTCTGATGATGATGATGCTGATCATGTTGCTGATGCTGATGCTGATGCTGATGCTGATGCTGATGCTGATGATGCTATTGATGCTGAGTTTGAGGCGGAGGAGGAGGAGGAACAGGAGCAGGAGCAGGAGGACACGAGTTCGACGAGACGCCATGCCAAGCTATATTGGCCCACCAATTTCCTCTGTGCGATCGAGTGCCTCTGGCGTGTAACTTTGGTGAGCCCCCCAAAGTCCTGAGCTTGATAGTGTTTACAGGGGAGGGGGCTGGTCCATAACCACTTTGGCTCAAGTCCATTCTCACAAACCAAGCCCGATAGTCGTTTCCTTCCTACTGTGAAGGCCAGATAGTCAGGGTTTAGTAGCCTGGCTCGACATCTTCTGGCAAATACAGCTACCGTGCTTGAAGCCAGACGCAGTGTCAAGAGGAAGCTCACAGAGCGCTTTACACGTGGTGTTTTCCGTACGTCGGAAACACAGGTGTCGTTCGTGTCAACGTCGGCCTGCCCCGCGTCACGCTGGAGACGGAACGGACCACGGGTGCCTGCAGCCCTTAAGGCAGGCGCGTCCCCGGGCAAGAGACACCCCACCATAATGGGTGAACTCGGCCCGTGGGGGTGGGCACATCATTCAAAGATGCTTGTGCCCTTGTTACAGTGTTTCGACAAGTTGTATTCGCTGTCACATTCTCCATATTCCGTTCACTTGCGACCAAAGGGGCATCCCAAGACCAAGATCATGCCGTGGCCGTGCTCGTGGCCGTGGCCGTGGCTGTGGCCGTGGCCGTGGCCGTGGCCGTGACTGTGGCCGTGGCCGTGGCCGTGGCCGTGGCCGTGACCGTGGCCGATTCTATTTCATTTGTGTTGACATGTCGTTGTTTTAAGAATTCTTCCATTCAGAGTTGACGTGCTGTTGCACTTGTTGTGGTATGACAGGCAAATAACTGGCTATCAGCCGAAGGTCTCTCCAAGAGCTCGTCTTCGGCGGTGCAGCATTTTTCCCATCAGCCAGAGTAGTAGCAGTGGTCGCTTTGCCAAAGAGGGGGCTTCGCACGTGCGCTCTGATTGTGGTGCCCGAGAACCGGGATACGAAATCGGCTCCGCCGTCCTGTGCTCCAGTCAGTGCTCTGGTCACGGGGGCGGGGGGTCGGACATGCACGGGAAAAGGGGCACTTGCGGCCGAGCCGCCAGGTGCCGACCGTGTCACGAAAGAGGGGGCAGTCGTTTCCTCCCTTCCGGGAAGGCCAGATAGTCAGGGTTTAGTAGCCTGGCTCGACATCTTCTGGCAAATACATCTACCATGCTTGAAGCCAGACGCAGTGTCAAGAGGAAGCTCACAGAGCGCTTTGCACGTGGTGTTTTCCGTACGTCGGAAACACAGGTGTCGTTCGTGTCAACGTCGGCCTGCCCCGCGTCACGCTGGAGACGGAACGGACCACGGGCGCCTGCAGCCCTTAAGGCAGGCGCGTCCCCGGGCAAGAGACACCCCACCATAATGGGTGCACTCGGCCCGTGGGGGTGGGCACATCATTCAAAGATGCTTGTGCCCTTGTTACAGTGTTTCGACAAGTTGTATTCGCTGTCACATTCTCCGTATTCCGTTCACTTGCGACCAAAGGAGCATCCCAAGACCAAGATCATGCCGTGGCCGTGGCCGTGGCCGTGGCCGTGGCCGTGGCCGTGGTTGTGGCCGTGGCCGTGGCCGTGGCCGTGGCCGTGGCCGTGGCCGTGGCCGTGGCCGATTGTATTTCATTTGTGTTGACATGTCGTTGCTTTAAGAATCTTTCCATTCAGAGTTGACGTGCTGTTGCACTTGTTGTGATATGACAGGCAAAACCGATCCGACCTACCCTCATTTCCCATGTCGCTCATATCTACTCTCGCCCATATCTACCTGGAGTGTCACTGTGCTGATAGACGGACGCCTGGGAGTTGCCGAGTTGGGGCTTCGCCGGGAAAAGAGCACCGTCGGCTTAGTCAACGTCAGATCAAGGGAACAGTGGTAGCGGAGCGTCTGAGGACGCTACCGTGGATCTGCGGACGTAATGACGGGATCGGATAATGGTGGCAACTCGAACGACGAGACTCGGAACGGTGGCCAGGAGTCTATCGAGCAGGTGGTGGGGATCGCACAGCAGTGGCGTAACGAGGGTGGGCAGTTCCAGATCGCGGCGGAGCAGATGCGCGCGTTCCCCGAGCAGGCCAAGAGTCTGATGGTGGCAGCAGCGTCGAGTGCCGGTCAGGGTGAAAGCTCAAGGGCCAAGGCGGGCGCGAACAGCACCAAGGGCGGCCATGGAGAGGAGTGGGGCGAGCAGTCGTGGACCTCGTCGACGTGGTGGAGCAAGGTAGGCAACGCAGCCGACGCCAGTCCAGCGCGCCAAGGAGATCGAGATCCATGGCAGCAGGACGGACGAGACCCGTGGGACCAATCGCGCAGATCAGACGGCTGGAAGGACAAGTCCAGCGGCTGGAGGGACCAATCCGACGGCTGGAAGGACAGGTCCGACGGCTGGAAGGACAGGTCCGACGGGTGGAAGTATAGCAGCTGGGAGAGCCGGGACTGGAACGAAGGCAAGTGGGGCGATCAGTCGAACACCGAGAAGTGGAAGAACGACGAGAAACCCCGCGGGAAGGACTTCGCCGATCCTGAGGCGTGGCCCGGTAGGCCAGAGTTCAAGCTTTGGCGAAGAAAAGTGATGCGCTGGAGGCAAACTACAGATGTGGAGACGCACAAGCACGCGGGCCGCATCATGAAACTGTTGCTGATCAACCTTCAGCGCAAGCTAGAGGACATCACGGATGATGATTTGATTTCAGACAGCGGCGCCGACAAAGTCATAGCTAGGCTAGATTAGCTTTCATGAGAAAGGGTCGGAGATGAAAAACGTAAAGCAGGACGAGAGTGTCTCTTCTCGTTTCAACGCAAGCAAGGAGAAGGACTCACTGAGTGCGCGGCGAGGCTGGATTTGGCTTTCGACAAGGTCGGCACCCTCGGCCTTCCTCTACCCGATGATTGGACAGAAATGTTTCTGGAAGAGGGGGTTGGCCTGGGCGAGCGCTGCACTCAGTTGATGCAGATCCAGATGCGAACCGAGGACTCTTACCAGGGGGCGCTAGCGGCCATCCGCGAGATGGACGTGACCAGGCGCGAGCACTTGAGTTATCAGGGGTCCAGAGCGTGCCATGTTGAGCAGCCAGAGGTCGTCGAGCAAAGTTTCCCTGTACATGTGCCCAACTCCGCGGACGACCATGACGCGGGCTCGCTACTCGACCGGGGCGACGTACCCTCGCTTGACACGGAAGGCGAGGCAGAGATATGCGTGGCACTGGACAAGATGGACCTCTACGACGACGAACTCAAGTACGTTTTCAATTCGATGCAAGAGGAAAGACGGACAACGTTGAAGCAGAATCGTGATTTGAAAAGGAAGCTCGAAATAGATCGTCAATTCTTCGACCGCTCCAGGGAGATCGAGATCAAAGGTGGAGATCGAGACGCAGGACGATTTTAAGAAAGGACATCGATCGGCTAGGGGAGAATGCGACCCAGGCGCAATCGATTGCCTCTCGCCGAGTTGATCGAGAGGGCTAAAAGCAGGACTCGCGGAAAGAAAGGCCGTTGGTCACGCGAGTGTCCAGACCGGAACGGCCAGAGCCCCAGCGCCAGTGCAACCGGAGGAGGGGCAGCGTCATTCGTCACCGGCTATGTGTACGCGAACGTGGTCGACCCCAACGCTTCGGAGGACGAGGCCGGCGACCAGGAGCAGCAGCAGCAGGACGAGCTCGTGCTCCTCACCGTCCCGCCCGGGGAGGCCGTGGTGGATACCGCGGCAGGACAGGGTCTGATCGGACAGCCATCTCTGAGTAGGCACGTAGAAGTTTTTGAAGAGCATGGGCCTCCGGGTCCCGCTCGTGGCCCCTCGGGGCCCATCGGCCAGGGGAGTAGGTGGAGGCACGGGGGTGCTCGACGCGGCCCTCATTCCCATGGGGATCCAGGGAAAGTCCGGGATCGTCGAATTCGACGTCCTTCGAGAGGATGTTCCGCCCTTGCTTCCGATAGGTTTTCAAGAAATGCTGGGGTCCAAGATCGACTTAGAAGAAAACCCCATGGACCTCAAGCGTCTAGGAGTGACAGTAGGAATGCAGCGTGTTCCCACTGGGCACCGCACCATCCAGATCTATGATTTTCCGGCCTCTGGCAGCGATTTCAAGTGCCCGGAGGCGGTCTTTCAGCGGCGTCCTTCGCTGAAGGAGAGTGATTCTCATTGTAGTAATATTAATACGAATAATCAGAATTATGCTAACGGAGTTCCCCACATAAAGAGATTAACGGTTTCGTGGGACCCATTTTCTTGATGCCCTCCTCGCTTTGGCGGGGCCCCGCTGGAAGGGGGGAGGGCTACGAAACCTGGCGAAGAGTAATGCTTTCCGCGACCCTCCTCGTTCAAGCGCGGCCTCTCTGGAGGAGTGGAGGGGGGACACGAAACCATGTAAATAGTATGGTTTTCGGATACCCTCCTCGCTCAGGCGGGGCCTCCCTGGAGGGGTGGGAGGGGCACGAAACCATGTAAATAGTATGGTTTTCCGATACCCTCCTCGCTCAGGCGGGGCCTCCCTGGAGGGGTGGGAGGGGCACGAAACCATGTAAATAGTATGGTTTTCCGATACCCTCCTCGCTCAGGCGGGGCCTCCCTGGAGGGGTGGGAGGGGCACGAAACCATGTAAATAGTATGGTTTTCCGATACCCTCCTCGCTCAGGCGGGGCCTCCCTGGAGGGGTGGGAGGGGCACGAAACCATGTAAATAGTATGGTTTTCGGATACCCTCCTCGCTCAGGCGGGGCCTCCCTGGAGGTGTGGGAGGGGCACGAAACCATGTAAATAGTATGGTTTTGCCTCCCTGGAGAGGTGGGAGGGGCACGAAACCATGTAAATATATGGTTTTCGGATACCCTCCTCGCTCAGGCGGGGCCTCCCTGGAGGGGTGGGAGGGGCACGAAACCATGTAAATAGTATGGTTTTCGGATACCCTCCTCGCTCAGGCGGGGCCTCCCTGGAGGGGTGGGAGGGGCACGAAACCATGTAAATAGTATGGTTTTCGGATACCCTCCTCGCTCAGGCGGGGCCTCCCTGGAGGGGTGGGAGGGGCACGAAACCATGTAAATAGTATGGTTTCCGATACCCTCCTCGCTCAGGCGGGGCCTCCCTGGAGGGGTGGGAGGGGCACGAAACCATGTAAATAGTATGGTTTTCCGTGGTATGGTATGGTACGGTATGGTATGATATGGTATGGTATGGTACTGGAGGTATGGTATGGTATGGTACGGTGTGGCATTGGTGTGATATGGTATGGTATGCTATGGTACGCCATGGTATGGTATGGTACGGTATGGTACGTATGGTGTGGTATGGTATGGTATGGTATGGTATGGTATGGTATGGTATGGTATGGTATGTGTGGTAGGAACTATGGTATGGTATGGTGTGTGTGTGTGGTAGGAATAATATTGTGCTGTATGGAAGATGGAGCGGGAGGTGGGTGGGAAGGAGAGGGTGTTCTGGGAAAACAAGGACCCCACTCAGGATGTGGGGAACAATTTGAGTCGTAAGACGAATACGAAGAATAATAGCACTGATGATAATAATACGACGAAGAATAATAATACGAATACGAGTAATACTAATAATCGCATTTATACGAATCATACTCATAATACTAGTAACATTAATGACATTACGAATCAGACTACTAACAACACGAATAAGAATGTGAAGAAGACGACGAATGCTAAGAATAACACGAATACGAGGAGGAGGAGGAGGAGGAGAAGAGGAGGGAGGAGGAGGAGGAGGAGGAGGAGGAGGAGGAGGAGGAAGAGGAGGAGGCGGAGGAGGAGGAGGAGGAGGAGGTGGAGGAGGAGGAGGAGGACGAGGAGGAGGAGGGGAGGAGAGGAGGAGGAGGAGGAGGAGGAGGAGGAGGAGGAGGAGGAGGAGGGGAGGAGGAGGAGGAGGAGGAGGAGGAGGAGGAGGAGGAGGAGGAGGAGGAGGAGGAGGAGGAGGAGGAAGGGGAGGAGCAGGAGGAGGAGGAGGAGAGAAGATGGAGGAGGAGGAGGAGGATGAAGATGAGGAGGAGGAGGAGAGGAGGAGGAGGAGGAGGACGGGGGGAGGAGGGAGGAGGAGGAGGAGGATGAGGAGGATGAGGATGAGGAGGAGGAGGAGGAGGAGGAGGAGGAGGAGGAGGAGGAGGAGGAGGAGGAGGAGGAGGAGGAGGTGGAAGAGGAGGCGGAGGAGGAGGAGGAGGAAAAGGAGGAGGATGAAGAAGAGGAGGAGGAGGAGGAGGAGGAGTGGAGTGGAGTGGAGTCGAGCCCGTTGCGCAAAGCAAGTTAGTGATATGAGCGTCGGATTAATAAGCACTCGAACGCCTGGCCTTCTGCTCAGCCTGGCTAAGGACTTTCGGCTTCCTGTGGGCAGCAATCCGATCGAGGTATTCCTGCCGATTCTTGTTGATCCTGCTGAAGCATGGCCTGTTACGAAGTCTACTCTGCTTCTCAACTATGGCACCACATGTGGTTCAGAACCAGGTATATAGGGTCGTATGCACATTAAGGGTGTGAGATTGGTGCGCCAAAACCCCAGCTGTATGAATAAGTTCCCCCACCTTAGGATGCTTAATAACCCCACCGACGTTATAGAACCCAGGACACGGAGTGGACCACCACGCTTTCATGGTGGCTTTCGTAGCCGAACAAAAACATTTGAGACACCTTTGACGGTCTTCCGGCAGGGCATGGCTCGACAAGGAAGCAGCAACCGCATTAGCAGAGGGAGGAGGAGGGGGAGGAGGGACGGCAGGAGCATCCACTCTCACATTCCTGGCCTCGGACCCAGCGGCTTCAGTAGCCGTCGTGCTGTCGAGCGTTGCTCTGAGCAACCGCGTCCGTGTTGATCCTGCAAGACTCGTACCCGAACAGGTTCTGGAACTCTTGGCCTGGATGGCGGCATAGCCTGCTAGCTCGTCCGCCACGGCATTGCCGACGATCAAAGCACTGCACCCATGTCCTTCAGCCATCTGCTTGGCCGTGGAATGTGAATGTGCAAAGAGAACCGTAATCCGTCTACCTTTCGATATTGTGCAATCTGATTCCAAACACCAGCGTCCTGACCTGAAATATTGTCCGCTTTGGATGCGTACCACCCTACAGCCACGTAGTCGCAATCAGTGACAAACGCGAGGGAGCCACTAGTGTGTGTGACTGCCAGAAGGAATGCAACCAACTCTCCACGAGCAGCAACTTGTCTGGGGCCCGTCAGTGGCCCCGCGATACAAGAAGCGGCCTCAGGAACTCGAAGATTGGTCATGCGCGCGATCGCGATGCCCACTTTGCGCATGATGACCGAGTGGGTGTCTGGACCTCCGCTAGCATCTCCGAAGATCCAAATGGGACATTGGTCCGGGCCGTGCCCCATACATCCTGGCTCCAATCGATCGAGTCCTGCATGCCGCCAACTGGGTTGATCAGGTGGTGGAGGTGCAGCAACCAGGTGTTGAGGCAACAAGCCTCGGAGCCAGTACGCCTCACACGAGTCGGGCTGTGCCAAAGCCTTTGGCAATAGCGAATCTGAAAACGAATAAGCCTTGGAGACAACATTCTTGGGGCAAGTCCAGTATCTATGCAATGGGGACTCATCATATTGGCGGCAGCGATCGCATATCCCATCGCCCGTGTACCGACGTAGAATGTCCCGCTTGCGTTGCTTGGTCCAAGCCCCTCCAGTTGCGATGTTTAACATGACTTCCGCTAACCTTGATCCATGTCGCTGCTGCGCTAGGTGATCCAACAACTGTCGTAGAGAAGCGTTGCTGATGCCATCTTCCATGCCAGACCCACAAACGTGCTGGCTGGCTTTGGGCCACAAGAGCCTGTGCGCTGTGTCCTTGACGCCCTGGAGTAGGGTCACGTGGCTGTCCGAGGCCTTGACCCCCGTGTAGCAGCTGTCGGGCAATTACCATTCTTCCTCAATCCCCTGCGGGCTGATGTGCGACCACGCTGATGGGGATGTGGGGGTCCACCCCGGCCTCAGAAACTGAAGCACCGCGGCTGAAAGATGGCCCTGAACTCCGCGAGCCTGATCACGGGGAGGGAGCTGTTGCATCCTGGCGACCACTGACGGCCAAACTTGTGCAATGCTTCTCCTCAAGTCAGGACGTGGCTGCCGCGTTGAAAACCACAAAAGTCGATCGTGCGCGTAGCTGCCGTAACTGCTGAGTCCATGCCACTTGCCCTCAGGTCGAGCAGCGTGGTGAGGCAGCGTCCCTTGGTAGCCGTCGCGCAGGAGGCGCCCGAGCGCCTGCGACGCTCGGTGAGTTGAAGGCCACACATCCCATGCACCTGGAAACCGTAGCTGCCAGCGGTGGCGCGCTTGCTTTTTTCGAGCTTTGAAGCCTGGCGATACTGCTCGGCGGCCTTCGCGAACTCCTTGATTT